AAACATAGTTGTTCTGTTTTAAAGGCTCGACAGGATCCTTTAACCGATAATGCCTGTTTCTAATTGAGTTTGTGGATGGTTTGAATGCCAGCCACTTTTATTCCTGCCTTGTTAAGAATTCTGCGTAAGGTTTCCGAGGTTCCTTCTTTGTATAAAATTACGACTGATGATTTAGATTCCTTATTGTTAGTGTTGTCATTATATGCCTCATTTCCTGTCTTAGATTTCCTTGGTACTACTTAGTTTTTGTGCTCTATTATTTAAACATTTAACCAATCCTATTTTCAGTGACATAGAATGGGATGATCGGAAGTCCAAATATCGGTTTGAATGTGTGGGCTTTCTGTAAATACTAGTGGTTAACTTCCCCTACATACGTATGTAGATGACACATTCACTGTACTTAGAACACAGGATATAGATAGATTTTTCGAACACATCAACTCAAAGGTAGAGGCAATTCAATTCACTTATGAATTGGAAAGTCAGCAAGGGGGGCTTCCAATGTTAGATTGTAGTGTGAAAAGGAAAGAAGATGGGAAGCCAACAGGAAAATCTGGCAGCGAAACAAATGAGGACCTATTACCTAATAAATATGCTTAAGGAAATGTATATAGATCGGATACACTCTGAGAAGACCGTCCAGTGACATCATTCACCAGGTCTTTGGGCGGAATCCGAATAGGAAGCGAATAGGAAGTCACATTTGTGTCCGAGGGTGACACAGAGGAGATCGTGTGAGTAGGAGATGACAACCTATAGGCAATCATGGGGCCAACTAAAAAATAGGTGTAGAGAACAAGTTGAAATTGAGACTTGTTGTTGAAGCAGTATGTCCTCGGAATCCAAAGGAATAATAATAATAATCATGCCTCTCAACACATATACGCCAAGCAGTCTTCGATACTTCAAATTTATGTATTGAAATTTTTCATGATAGTGTTTATCACTGAAAGGTGATATTTTACTGTGCATACGAAATACAAATAATCTAGACCTTCTTGTCATGTATAATAATGCCAAAAACACATGATGTACAGCTCGACCGTCTAGCCATAGTACTACTTTTAACTAACTTTTAGGTATTTGCCCTTATTTCTATGCAAATGTCAGAGTATCAGACATATAAATCACGCCTAACTAGAGTGAAATATTGATATGTTCAGTGTGAATCATCGTTTTCTTCACTTGATAACTCTTTTTGGAGCTCAGTTATTCACAAATGATACAAGTATTGGGTTTTGTAGAGATTGTGTTTGATTGGTTGGAGGATTTCATCATGAGGTGACATCAGTTAGAGAACCATTGGAAAACCAACTGGGAGTGCTGGACAGCTGTTGAGTCAGCCTAGTTTGGGACACTTCATCAGTACGCACCCACCTCCAGGCTTCGAACCCAGGATCTTCTGGTTACAAAGCGATCCAGCTCGTAGACCATTAAGCCACTGGCACCCGATCTGGAGGCCAGCCCATGAATTCTAACTTCTGCCAATTCATGACATAGCACGATCACTTCGTAGTGTGTTCTTCGTACTGTGTACTGATGAGGAGTCCCAAACTAGGACGAAATAGCTGTCCAGTACTCCCAGTTGGTTTTCCAACGGCTCTCTAACTGATGTCAGCTTATGATGAAATCCTCTAACAAGTCTAAATTTACTTGTGAATTCATTAAGTTACATTATTCGTTACCTACTAAGAGGATCCAGTGACTTGTTAAACCCACCTATCAAGGAATTGATGCTTTTTCAGGGTGATAGATTATTCAAATAAACTGAAAAACGCTTTGTGAACAGAGTCATTTTGTATTGCAAAACTCCATTTGGCACCCGTTTTTATAAATACTGCCACTCACCTGAAGTGTTAACTTCCCAGGGTTGTCACATTATCAATCGACTGTATGTGACATAACACCGTGTCACACTTTTTCATTATGTGGTGTTTAAATTCACACACACACACACACTCTCTCTCTCAATGAAACTTTGTATTTTAATATTTCAAGTGACTCTGTGTAAACAGATTCAATCGCATGTGTATAAGTATGGCTACAAATACGACGATAAAGAGGGAAGCAAAGTCATTAAAATGTTTAACTACACGAATTAGCCAAATCGGTCATAGGATCTCCGCTATATCTCAATAGAGTCATCAACCAGGGGTTCCAAGTCATGTGGTTCATCACAAAGGCGAAAATTCGTCCTGCAGCTAATCTTGCTATTCATCGTTTTACCTTTGCTTGTTTAACATTCACATCTAACTTCTATTCACTATCGCATTGTGTGCGTTCTTTGGTTGTTGATGTAGTTGATGCAATGTGTTTCGTTCTACTGCTAAGTGGATAGTAAGTAGTAGATAAAGACGTGACTTGTTTGAAACCTGGCCTACCCAAATACCGCATCATTATATTGCATGTAATTTCTTGTGTTCAGTTTGTCTGAATCTATTAAAATATGAACTCTAAAGGTGTCTTCTTCTCCTGCGAGTATTTAAAATGCCTACAACCTACTGATTTGCAAGTCTCTACTAAACTTGAGAAAAAGTATAGTTGTGGATGGCGACGTATTCCAATACATCAGATAATTTGAAGTAATAATTTATTAGATGGTAACTGGTAGTGTAATCCAGAATGCGCACTTCGTCCTATTCAGGGCTCGTCATCTGAATGTACCTGTGTACCAGATAGGACGGAATGAGCACTCTGGATTTCACTGCTAGTCACCATCCACCAAGTCAATTCAAGTTAAACCCCCAGATGTCGTCGAAGCATCTGCACAAAGAGTCGATACGTCAACAAAGGCCTAGCACTTCGGTCCAATCAATCAAAAAGAAAAATCCAGATATGTTTGCAGGATAATACGAGCTCGTTTTATTTCGTGGATTCTCATCAACTGCATACATCCTAAACAAAACCAAATTATAGGTTTCAAGAAAGTTGTGGAACATACTTTTTCATAATTACTTTGAGTTATAGATAGAAGGCATAAGGAACATAATTCCAGAATTTGATGTAGGTAGACAGATTATTCGGTGTCAAAAAACAACTAATTATATATAGTGGAATTGGATAAGAAACCAGTTTTCATCTGTCTAGATTACAAAGGGGAAGAAGTATCCACAAGAACACAAAAAAGAATCACAGGTGCATTGAAAAGAACGTTCCCAGCCGCCAGACTGATCCTACTTCACAACACTGTGTGCTCGTTAACCCAGTCAAAAGTAGATGAGTTCCCTACTCACGTCAACTCCAACTGCATTTACCAATTCACGTGCACCTGCGGTAGCAAGTACATAGGAAGGACTGAGAGGACAGCATCTACTAGATTTTCTGAGCACATTCCTAAGAGTCTCCATACAAAAGGAAGAAAAGTGTTATCAAGTGCAATCGCCAGACATCTAATTGACACGGGACACACAGTAGAAATCAGCCAAGCCTTCAAAATAATCAATACACAAGGAAACCCACGGCTACTTCGCTTCGCAGAAGCCATTGCTATCAAGAGATTTCGACCAGACCTTTGTATACAGAAAGATAGTGTGATTAATCTTTCACTACCTTGGTAACCCTGACTCTATTTTATTTTATTTTTGTTTTGCCTTTCTGTCAGTATGCCTGTGTGTTTGTCTTGTTACGTAACATTCTATTCAATTTTGACCTTCAAGTTTCTAAATCTACTTAATTGTTTGTGTGTTTAAGTTATAAATGTTACTTCACTATTCACCCCCACCCTCTTAAACTCTCCACCACAAGATGTGTAAATTTACTTTGTTCTCTGACCCTGACCCTGTAATATCCCTCTAACCAATCTGTGTTGTTTTCCAATAGAAATCTGAACTCTTACCTCTCTTATCCAATTCCACTATATATAATTAGTTGTTTTTTGACACCGAATAATCTGTCTACCTACATCAAATTCTGGAATTATGTTCCTTATGCCTTCTATCTATAACTCAAAGTATTTATGAAAAAGTATGTTCCACAACTTTCTTGAAACCTATAATTTGGTTTTGTTTAGGATGTATGCAGTTGATGAGAATCCACGAAATAAAACGAGCTCGTATTATCCTGCAAACATGTTCGTTCTTTCTCTCTTCAAACTAATAAAGGGAACCGGTTGCATGAAACATCCAGATAATTGCTCCTTACGTTTCTAGTACGATCTGCCACTGTCTGAGAAATAAAACTAATTTCCTTAACTCTTTAATGATTCAGCTATTATTGCGTCGTTTAGTTAAAAAATGTACTTCTGCACCTGTTTTTGGTTGTCTTCCAATCAAATGTTATGCATTTCTCGAAGGGGGCAAAGAAGAAATATCATAAAGGTCAGGTCAGATAGCGGCGTTCCACACGATCAACTGTCAGCTACTATTTTACTTGAAAATCCTGGCTAGAGAGAAACTATTACACAATAATTTCCGCTGAAAATTCTGTACATTATATAAACACTGCTCATAATAAAGGTATTATTATTATCGTAATATATGTGCCAATGGGAAAGGCACTGAGGAAGAAATGTGAGAAGAGGACACAAACACCAACAAGAACTTAATAACAATAAACAATAAGACATCTTTAATGCAGAATCGCTGATATTATTTTCAAACAGCCAAAACAATAGTTCTGTCCTCACCAGTTTTGTTACCTTCGGTAGTGAGCTTCTCTTCTTGTTATCGAACTTTATTAAGGTACACCAATGTCATATATAGCGAATTAGACAGCTAACATGCAATGGGTTTTTGTATTACTCGGAGTACTAAATATTCTCCTTCTGAAACTTTGTCTCACTTTTCGCAGCTGTTCAAATGATTTACTATTCTCCTTTCAATCATTTAGATCAAAACATAATATTCCTCTTTTTGTTTTGCTGGCTAGTATTTAAGAGCAAATTATGTGTGTTTTGTCTCATTTAGACCTCATCAGTTGATGTGATTTGCAATTTTCTACTAATATCTCAGAAATTATTAATATCTTTTGAATGTATGTTCTTTCTTTGTTTACATCAGAACCTCATGCCCAAAAGAATGGCAAGCATGCTGTGATCCAACACGTTGTAAGCTACGTGGAGGCGCTGAATGTGCTGGTGGACCATGTTGTGAAATTGTGAAGACAGATCCACATGGTAGTGGAAATCAGTCAAGTATCCAGTGTAAGCTAAAGTCATCTGGTACTGTTTGTCGTAATGAATCAGGGAATTGTGATCTACCTGAATATTGTGATGGTCAAAGTCAATGGTGTCCAGCTGATGTCTACAAGGCTGACGGAGAATTGTGCTATACAGACGAAGGTCGCCGTGTAAGTTTTGAATTTTCGCATAATCGCACATGCTTTTGATAAATACACATACGTAGTAGGTAGAATAAAGTTTTCAGAATGCCCATCGCAATTAATGCATCTTGGAACCACAAATCAATATCAGTTAGATCGCTGGCTAGATCATCTGTTCACCGATGAAGAGTCCGAAACTTGGACGAAACGGCTGTACAGTGATCTCTGGTTTTCAATGATTCTCTAACCAACATCAGTTTTTGATGAGATCGGCATTAATAGTAATTGTAACCTTCACAGACTCGAAGTTTGGATTTCCATTTCATTTCAGTTACCGCAAGTCAGACAGAAAAATAATGATAGAGATTATTGGTAGTTTAGGCGAAGGGTTTCGACTGTATCGCTTTGTAGTTCCTGGTTGGTTTAATTGTATAGCTATTTCTTTTATTATTCTTAATATTTTCATAAGTGACTTTGAAGCCTTTTCTGGAAACTATTCTTATGTTCAATATCAAATATCCTACTAACGTTATTATCGTTGTGCAAAACCCGTATGTGTGACCAATTAAGCGTCTAAATTACTTTCCTATAGTTAGTTTGTTAGGATTAGTTTTGTTTTTACGAGTTGATCACGGATTGATATCAGTTAGAGAACCATTGAAAACCAGCACTCTAGTACTGGACAGCTGTTTCATCCGCCTAGTTTGGGAATCATCGGCAGTACGCACCAACCACCAAGATGAGAACCCAGGATCTTCCGGTTACAAGGCAAGCTCGCTCTAAATGACGAATTGGTAGAAGTTAGAATTCATGGGCTGGCTATTGAATCAGGTCCTAGTGGCTGAATGGTATACGAGCTTGCCTTGTAACGGGAAGGTCCTGGGTTCGAACCCCTCAGTGTGGGTGCGTACTGCCGATAACCCCCAGACTAGGGTGAAACAGCTGGCTATCCAGTACTCCAGTGCTTATTTTCAATGGTTCTCTAACTGATATCAGTCTAAATTACTAGTCGCTTTCTTCTCTTGACTAGAATCTGAGCCTACTATTGATAGATTGTATAACAACCAAAAGAGACCCGTCGTAGTCTAAAAGCAGAGAACAGATCTCTGCGGCCTACTGTATAGTTGTCTGAAACATCTTTGAGACACTCACAATCACAAAATGCTCCAAAAACAACAAGACGACAATTATTCGTTGATATATCTGTGTGGTTCTACCCAACAATATTGACATCCAAAACTCAAAATTACCTCAACAATTCCGTTACGCCACCATACAAACAAGGTAGCTTTCTAGTACAAAAGAAGTACTGTGGAACAAAATTAGTTTACCGTAATTCAACTTTAGGAAGTACCTTAGAATCAAGTAAAATATATTCCCAATAAGCTGCTACCAAACCCCTCTGTCTTACAAGAATCATGCACCGAACAGTTCCCAAAGAAAGTCGAAGGTCAGAATGACCTTCAGTCACTCATATCGTAAAACAGTACATTAAAGATTAAACAGGGGCAAAGACAAATAATACAGATTCGGTCAACAGATGATGTATGCAAAAGTGAGAATAGTTGATATGCATTCTTGGAGGAAAACGGATAGCAATTAAAAAGTTAGTTGAAACATCCAAATAAATATCATCACTTCAAATGAACTGTCGTCAAGATTTGACGGAATCGTTCTAAAATATTTGGGCACCGAGTGAGAAGTAGACATTTGTAAAAAATTATATTTGTAAAATCTCAGAGAGATTGGAGACGTTAAGAAATGTTTTACAACTGTTTACCCACACACACACACACATACACACCCTGTTTAAAGTGTTTAACAAAGGTAGACAAATATTTGTAAGTCCGAGGTCAAATTTTGATCACAGCTCATAAAATTTTGTTTATTATACTTGTTGATACTTGTTAAATGACTCATGATTGGACGAAGTTTCTAAAAACAAGTGATGTTCCTTTTATATATAAACCTCTGTTATGTTAATTTCGATTCATTCCTCTGAAGAAGTTCGGACCAGATTTCCGAACGAAACGTTGGAATTACTCATTTCAATCTCGCTGAGATTTTACAATTATAATTTTTTACAAATATCATCAGTCATAAGATTGTTGAGGAAGAATTTTCCATACACTTATTCTGTTACAGATTATGTAGTTGGCAGCATGACTTGTATAACAGCCCATTGGTGGTAGATAAAATAAGTCCATATAAATATACCGTCATATCGAAGGATAATAAAATGACTGAGGGTAAATTCACACATTGCTAATGACTAAGAAACGATGACAAATGCCATCCTTTAGTCATTGACTCACTGATTATAGAAAACAAGCAACAGTAAAGTCAGAGTTCAGGTGTGAAACATTACTAATTAGAACGGATGAAATTTGATAACCCTAGAGACATTTAAGCGAATCATTATGAAAGTCATATTTATTATTATTATTGTTCCCTTGGGTTCCTAGTGGAACATAGGGCTTCAACTACACGTCTCCACTTGCTTCTGTCCTATGCTGTACTTCTCATCTGCATCCATGTTAGGCCATACTGTTTCAACTCCTCTTCACACTATCTCCTCCATGTCACCCTTGCACGTCCCACTCGCCGCTTCCCTTTCGGGTTCCACTCGAGCTATGGCCTGATGCGCGATTTCACCCAGCGGCCTCCTCAGCGAGTTTCCAATCCATCTCCACTTTCCACTGCATATTTGTTGGGCGATTGGTTCTTGTTTTGTATGTTCCCATAATTTCTTGTTGGTGATTCATCCCGGCCATCTGATCTTCAGTAGTATAGAACGAAGACAGTTGTTGATAAAGGTCTGCAACCTGTTGGAAATATTCTTTGTCACCCGCCAAGTTTCTGATCCATCCGTATAGAAGAACTGACTGACTTGACGTTTGTATTGAAAATCCGAATGTTGTTGTTGATGCAGGCTGAGTGACGAAGATTTCCAGATTGGTTTCAGGTTGATGAATGTGTTTCTCGCCTTCCCGATTCTCGATTTGACATCCTCGCCCGTTCCTGCTGTAGTTGAGACAATGCTCCCTAGATAAGTGAATGAAGTAACCTTTTTCAAATGCCTCCCGTTGATGATGATTGGCGTTGGATGTTGCTGTTGTTGTTGTTGTTGAAAGTCGTTTAGATAAAAAAATCATATCAACTCACTTGTGTGTCTGTGTGTGTGTGTTCTGAATTAATTTGTCCAATAGAATACTGATAGCTTCATTATTTAACCTGCTTTTATGATTTCTACTCTTAGAATGAGTATATTTCAATGAAGATTTAAATGAAATAGGCTTGAATTTCATCTTGGTGATTAAACTTCATTTATGTGGCTTCGGATTATTATTTATTATTGTACATCTTACCAATTCACTACTGAAATAAAAAGTATTGTTTGATTTTTGTAGTGAATACCATAAGAAGTTGTATCTTAGTTAAATTCTTGTAAAAATCTACGAAGAGGACATTCAAGTCCTACTCATCTTACCAACTTCTATCTAGGATTATCATTAAATGTTGAATACAAATACAAACACATACACACATATCTTAAATCTTTGTTGGAAGGCTTGACTTTTTCATCTCATTAGATTTCAATAAAAATAGGTGTAATTTGAGTTCCACTTTGTTTATAGAACAATAAGAGTGATGTTAAAGCATGCACCCCTCCCCCCTCCCAAAAAATACATCAGTATGAATGAGTGCCACTAGAATACGAATAAAAACGGAGCATTTCTGTTGCGATAATCCATATTGCAACTACCAAAACCGACTCGTTATTATCTGAAATCAGGAAATCGATCTCTGTGTTCTCCTGTATAGCTGACAAAACTTTCTTGAGTCACACACGCACACAAATGCATAGTCACAAAATATCAGTTATTTGCCGTAAAATCTCTGGTTCTGTTAAACGGTGATAATATCGGAAACTTAAAATTACCGCCTCAACAGTGCCGTTAGGCAGCTGACTACAAGATTAGTACTTGGAATCAAGTACATTATTGCCCAAAAACGTGGGATTAGAAATCTCTGTCCACAAAGATCACATTTACTCAAACAAAATCACATCGTAAAACAACACATTCTCATTAGCATCATATAACCGCAAAAAGAAGCATTAACAAAGAAAAATACTAGGGATCAAACCAACATACCATATGTAGATGTCAGAATGATGATATACAGTCTAGGAGAAAATAGGATAAATATAACAGAGTTAGTTGAGACGTCCGAATAAGTATGAATATTCTAATAACATCGTCCCGAGGGATTTTCTAAACAGTTTTACGTTACGGCAGAAACAAGTTATGTACAGCTCAGGACTACTCAAAAGACTAGTTGCCTGTTCAATTGATAACGCCTTACTCATTGGAAACTAAGGAAATTGTTTTGTCTTAATCCCAACCTCGTCACAAACCAACATATGTTAAGTAATCATTGAGAACTAAGGGGAACTAGACAGATGTCATATCAGGTAAAATAAAGTAAGTAAGGCAGAGTTTATAGGTTGAACAGCAAGCCAGGGTAACAACAGTGGCTTAGCCTGTTTCTTTCCCACACAGACCTCCGGTTAATTTAAGTGAATTGCAGTGACCTCTAGTATCTGAAGTATTCGGTATCTGGTTTTGGTAACCTCTCTGATACTCAGTAGATGATAGATAAGGATTTTCACTGTTAGGTTTGTGGCCTTTTTGAACGAGGTGGTCCAATACAAAGCTCTTAACAGTTTTAACAACATCTTTTAGCCATACTGGTAGGTGTAATATTCCGTGCACGTGAAATCAGGTTCCCAGAACAACGACCGCTATAATTGGCTCCACAGGAGCGTACAACTACAATGCCAAAGTTTTACGCACATATTGATGTGCGTTATTATTTATAAAATCGAAAAGCGTAATGTGGAGAAAAATACTTGACCATATGATCACGCCATCCTACTCAAGTGATGAATGCTGCTAATATTATGCTAATCATATTTCTTTCGGAAGTATTAGAATTAGGAAAGTGTGTTTTAATACACTTAT